AAAAAAAAAACAAAAAGTTGTAAATAAGAACAGAAGTAATACATCTACATAAGAGGAACAGTAAAAATAGTATAATATAAAAGCGACAGATGTGCATTAAGCAGCAACCAGCAGTGGAACTGCAACGTAAACTGAGGAATCGGTAGAGTAAAGAAAAGGGTTGAAGCACACCTCCAATATTACGCAAAAGATGCACAGAGCAATGAAAAAAGTCTCAGATTCAACTCGCAAGAAACGCAAGAACAATTAATGAACACTAAAAGTAACTTAAACTAATCGACGTATAAGCGATAGGTTGACACTCTCAATCAGATCATGCATAAGGCAGAGACTAATATAAGGCTCTAGATAGAGTTACGCTCAAGCAAGAAAAGATAGTCGTATAGCTTACCCTTAAAAACGGTGACAGACGTTGCTGAAACAACATCATAAGGAAGCGAGTTCCAAAAGTAGATGCCCGCGAGATGAAAGGACCTGCGATAGGTTTCAGTTCTGTGATTTGGAACATGAAAAGAGTGCGGTAGCGCCAGTCGTGACGATCGCCTGACTGAGGGGTCGTGATCAACGAAGATTTCAGAGAGATAACTAGGAGATAAGTCATGGGACACCTTAAACATTTCGATACCAAGAAAGTAAAGACGGCGGTATTTGACCGATAACCACCCCAATCGATGCCGGTAAGGTGTGATGCGTTCGTCACGCCTTAAATTGAAAATGAAACGAATAGCACAATTTAAGAGCCTCTGAAGCCTGGTATTTAGTTCCTCGGTCACGTCGTTGTATACAAGAGAGCAGTAGTCCAACAAAGGCAAAATCAAGGTGGTCACAAGTTTAACACGTAGATTAATTGATAATGAATTCTTATGAAATTTCAGTTTGTGCAGTGTAAAGTGTACCCTTCTTGAAATGTGTGAAACGTGACCCTCCCAAGAAAGGTCGGAGCGCATGATGACCCCGAGGTTTCGAGTCTCCGTAACAAATGGGATGGAGGTACCGCCAACTGAAACGAGAGGTAGGTCATTTAAATTTAAGTGTCTAACGTGACTCCTGCTGCCAAAAATCAAGACTTTTGATTTCTTAAGATTGAGAGTCAATCCGTTGGTTGCAGCAAATTGTGAGATGACACCCACGTCATGTGCGACGAGGTGTAAAGCAACGCTCAGTTGACTAAGGGGACTTCTGCGATAGATCTGTGTATCATCGGCGAATATAATGCGCTCAGTATATCTCAAGAAGGCACCAATGTCGTTAATAAATAAAGAGAAAAGGAGAGGACCTAGGACGGATCCCTGTGGAACACCTGAAGTGACAGACAGCCAGTCAGAGAACACGCCCTCCAAATCAACGACAGCCTGACATCGACCAGTTAGATACGAAAAAATTAACTTGAGGGCCGAATCAGAAAACCCTAGTTGTCTGAGTTTGGTCAACAGTAGAAAATGACTGACCGTGTCAAAGGCTTTGCTGAAGTCGAAGAGGACAAGAATCAACACCTCACCCACGTCGACGCCATACTTAATGTCATGGAGCAACCGCAGCAAAGCGGACTGGGTGGAATAGCCTTTCCGGTAACCGGATTGCCGATCATCGAGAATATTATGAGTAGCTATAAAGTCCGAAATCTGGCGGTGTAGAATTTTTTCGAACAACTTAGAGAGTTCACACAGATTAGCAATAGGCCTCGTGTCCGAAGGAGAAGCGGGAGATTTAACTTTGGAGAGCGGTCGAAGTATGGCTCGCTTCCACAAGGACGGGAAGTGACTGAAATTCAGACAACAATTAAAAAATGTGGTAAGGAGATTGCCAATCCGAGGCAGGGCTAAGGCTATGGCGTATAGAGGTAATTGGTCATAACCTGAGGCAAGAGAGACAGAAGAAGCGGAGACAAA